GTTTGGCTCAGTGAATAGAGGGCATTGGTCTGCAGACCAAAGGGTCCTGGGTTTGATTACAGTCAAGAGAATGCACCTTAGTTGCAGACTCCTCCCCGGCCCAGGTCCTGGTCAGGGCGTGTGCAGGAGGCAACCAATTGTGTTTCTGTCACATCGATGTTGCTCTCTTTCCCTCTTCCATTTTCTCTAGAAATCAATGAAAAACTATCCTTGGGTGAGGATGAAAAAAAAAAAGAAGGATCTCATATCCTTTAAGAAAGTATGGAGGGACCTGGAGAGTGTTATGCTAAGCGAAATAAGCCAGTCAGAGAACGACAAATATCACATGATCTCACTTATATATGGAATATAAAGAACAAAATAGGACCAGAAGCATGGATAAATGAAAGACTGACATCTCAAAGGGGAAGTGGGGGTGGGAAGGATGGGATGAGATGAGAAAAAGAAAACAAAACATGCATATATGCATAATCTGTGGTCACTGACAATAATATGGTGAAGGCCTCCGGGGACAGGGTGTAGGACGGGTAAAGCGGAGCAGGAATGGGGGACATCTGTAATAGAGCCAACAATAAAAATAAAAAGAACCTGCACATTTAACAATGCCTGGGGTTAACAGTTTAAATTGTAAAAAGGTCTTTTTATCACCTCCACCTTTCCAAGACCTTCCAAAGTCTGGGTGCAAAGGGTTTAAGTATTTTGATAATGGGATGAAAGGGCCTTTGTCTGCAACTATGTAATATGTAGTAAGAACCATAAGTATATTTCCATACCTTTTCATTAATTCATACGAATGTATTTAGTTCCTGAAGTGTGTACAGGGGCAGTAGGCCCTAAGGGTGCAGTGGTTAGCAAAAATAGTCTATTTGAAAAGACAACCCAATAATTATAACAAATTGATAATGAGGAAAAAGAAACTTCTTAGGACTGTAAGATGTGTGTACATGTGTACATTCACAATCATGTTATGTTGCTTCAAACAACTTTGTAAAGTGTTAAAACTGGGAAAGTCCCAGTGTGTTGATAGAAAATTCTGCCCTCTGTTCTTAGCAGATGAAAAAGACATCAGAGTTTGTATGCAGATGGACATCATTTGCCCAAGGCAGGCTTTAGCTCTTTTCTGACCTGAGGAAAAGGAGAGAAGGGACTACCTGGAAAATTAAAGTCAAGGTAGTTATACTATACATTTGTCCATATTTAAAACGGGAAGCTAATTTGCTGAACTGGGTGGTTGAATGTACAAAATGCAAATGTTATGTGGGGTTGGGTTCCCCTGTTTGCCAACTGGCACTAGCAACCGAGTTGGGTAAATTGAAATACCAGCTCTCTTATCCTATGACCTGAAATCTTTCTAGTCTCCACCTCATTTTTTGTCCAGAACTCATAAGGATTTCCTGTCCTCTCAACAGTCCCACCCCATTTCTCCCTGATTCCCCACACTCAGATCTGTAACTCCCAGACCTGCATTTCTTTTGAGAGAAATAAAAGGCATTGTCACCAAACCATCACACCTTTCAAAATCCTATCAAATATTATCCCCTTTTGGTCATCCTATCCCACTTTCCCCTTTTCTTCCTGAAGTCTACCATTAAGGGATAAGCTTCATGGAAGGGAAGAGCCAGTTCATCTAGAACAAAAAAGTCTCTAGGGGAGGGATGGGAAAGCATATGACAGCTGCTTATCAGACCAAAAGAGGGAGAAGTCATTTTGATAGTAAGGAGAGGGATTGGCAGAAACAACAGAGTAGAAGGTGTCAGCTTGATCCCTCATAAACCCTAGGGTTCAGCCTGGTGCAGGGCAAGTGGAGGATGATTAGTGAGAGCAGCAACTCCAGATAGCTGATCCTTTCCAAAATGACAGTAGTGGGGGCTCCTGGATTCCACAGGGGTTAATTCAGGTTAACCTTGACCAGGTGGTGAGTGTTTAGGAGTTCTAGACCTCCCCTGTGTGTTGACTTCATATATTCAGGCCAACCGGAGAGCTTTCTTTATACTGTTACTCTCATAAAGAGATAAAAGCGGTGCCCTAGCCAGTTTGGCTCAGTGAACAGAGCATGTGCCTTTGGACTAAAGGGTCCCAAGTTCGATTCCAGTGAAGGGGGCTGGATCCCCAGTAGGGTTCGTGCAGGAGGCAGCCAGTCAATGATTCTCTCATCATTGATGTTTCTATTTCCCTCGTCCTCTCCCTTCCACTCTGAAATCAATAAAGATATATTAAAAAACAAATAATATCTCTTTTTTTAAAAAGTGGCCATACTCATTTATATTTCTTATTGAAAGCAAGGAGCCTAGTTCTCAAATAACTGCACTAGCCCTGGAGTGCCTACCTCTAGACTTACTAAATGAGAAAAACAATCCCTTTTGTTTAGTCATGATAATCTGGTTTTCTGTTGTGTGAAGTACAATCCTACCCAGATATTTGATTGTCTGCCTTTCTCACTACATCATGTCAAATACCATGTCTATATTTGCTACCTGTGTAAGGTAGAAAATTCAACTCAAAACTGCTTTAAGATATATGGAAGTTTATGAACTCACATAACTGGAGATCCAAAAGTAGGACAGAACTAAGAGTTGACATGATCCCATTATCCCAGTTCCATTTCTCTGCTATTCTTTTTTTTTTAATATATCTTTATTGATTTAAGAGAGGAAGGGAGAGGGAAAGAGAGAAACATCAATGAAAAGAGAGAATCTTCGATTGGCTGCCTCCTGCACACACCCCCACTGGGACTGAGCCTGCAACCGGGGCATATGCCCTTGACCAGAATTGAACCCGGGACCCTTGAGTCCACAGGCCAACACTCTATCCACTGAGCCAAACCAGCTAGGGCTCTCTGCTATATTTTTTACCTCCCCTGTGTGTTGACTTCATATATTCAGATTGCCATCATAAGCACTGTAGGAATTTCATGACATATGTCACAGCTCAACATGCCTAGTGGGAGCGTGGATCACTTCTGGAAGTTCCCCTGGAAAAGTTTTCCGGAAAGTATCCTGAAAACCTATCCTTAAAACTCATTGAGGTGCAGTGGGGTACATGCATGATCCTAATCCAGTCCCTGGCAAGAGGGTGCTACTATCCTTAGAACAGTCCAGATCACCCCTGGAACCCAGGAGGCTGAGCTACACCAACTGTGGGTAGGAGGGAAGGATTCCCGAATAACAGCAGGGTTCTGTTAGAAAGGGAGAAGGGAAAGGATGTTGAGTATGTAAACAGCTCACTTTTTGTATTCCCAACATCTTGTAGACAAGCTTAAAAGCCAAAACAGAACACCCACACAGTTTATGCTTTATCTCAACAATAAGTTTCTTGAGTGAAGTATGCTTTACTCTTATTTATACTAGAGTTTTAACTCAATCCTGAACATACTAGGAATTCAAATTGTTGATTTTTTAAAATCAATAAGTCTGTGAGAGAAAATGGCTTAAATTATTTAGCTTCCTAGATTTTTTTGCACATTGCTAGATTTTCTTGCTAATCAACTTCTTTGACTCCCAAAACTTAGAACTGCTTGGGTACACAGGGAAAATTCCAAGCCCACAGATGTACATTTATTCAACAATATATTGATGTACTAGTGACTTTTTCTGGAAAAGTAAATCAGTGAAGTCCCTAAAGTTCCTTTTTCTTGCCAAAATGAAGAAACCGGGGAGATGAGGTTCTGCTTCGCTAGAGGCAGTTGTCAAACTTACAAGTTCCAAATCATCCAAAAATTCCGGGGTTCTTTTCTGTCAGTAACTAGAGACGACTACTGATTTTTTAAAATAGTTGATTTTCAAAGGTGTAAACATTTTATATTATCCATGGTGGCTTATCTCAGAAGGAGAAAAAAGAATATGCCTCTATACTAACTTTTCATCACCAGGCAAATGTGGATCATCACGAAATTGACTTTTATACCTCTCTCCTCATCCTAAAAAGTATTGTTTAAAAAGTTTGGGGCCGTAAAGTAATACTGATTTCCTCTGTCTCCGTAGGCCCATTGATAAAGTCATTACTTGACAGTACCAGTTCACATTGATTGATAAGCTTGGTTTGCAGAAAGTGCCCTTGGCTTGGGGCATCAGTGACCAAGGATTCAACTCGCAGCTTCTTGCAAAACGCGGATTATGGATCATTTTGCCACGACCAACACTAAATGAGATTCAGTATTTAAGCACAATTCCAGGTAATTTCATGATTTAATACACTTGCTTCTTCATTTACTTCTCCAAACGTTCCAACCGATTATTCGGCTTCCAAATGGGCCAGGAATTTAGGAAAAGAAAGAAGAGGCATGGATGGGGATAGGGATGGGGAACCCTTGACCCGGGTCGCAGCCTGGGCGTGGCTCGGCCTTGCGCACCGAGACAGAAGGCCGTACACTCGGCGCGGCCCCAGGCTCCGGATGCGGGGCGTCCAGCCCAGACCTCGCCCTCGGGGAGAGAAGAGGCGGAAGCCAAGGGGAGGAAATGCAGTCCATCCACTGCAGTCGTCGCGGCTGCGGCCCTGGAAGCGAACCTCAGACCCATCTACCCGCAGGGAGGCCGGGAGGGGGGACCTCGGACAAAATGGCGCAGCCGCACGGCGCAGGGTGGACT